TCTCTCTCTCTCTCTCTCTCTCACACACACACACACACACACCTACACACAGAAAGACACACAAAAAAGGAGGACAGGATCCTGTGTGATTCTCTCTCTCTCTCTCTCTCTCTCTCTCTCTCTCTCTCTCTCTCTCTCTCTCTCTCTCTCTCTCCAGTTCACATTGCAAGTCGAAGTTCAAGCACAGCACGGGTCCACAGTCCAAGCACAGTGCCTCCACAGGCCCCACCAATGGCCTCCTACCACAGGGGAAGAGAGAGGGAGAAAGGGGGGGGGATTCCAACAGGGTGCTTTCAGGCGCATCATCAACAAGCGCTGCAAGTACGGGAGGGGGAATGCAACAAGTTAGGTGTAAGAAAAGCTCTGTACCACAAAGAAGCAAGGACAGCCAAGTACAACAAAGATCCAATGGCGTGTCCTTTGCATAAAGGACAGACGCCGTAATACGTACACACCTCTAATCTGGGTCGTTGGGCCTGTAGTACCAGGCCAACAGGCTGCATTGACGCACAATCTCAAGATTGGCACACCAAGACCCAATTGCCCCGACCCAAGATTCGTTACAATCGTGTGAGCATAAGGGCAATTGGACCCGTACGACCCACTGGCCCGGATTCTAGATTTGCTACATCGGTGCCATGATCTGGGCCATGGCCGGGTCGGACCCTGAATGCCCTGGATTCAGGATTTCTTCCGCGTTGGGAGATACACAAGTGGATGGACATGATCATTGACAAGACACATTCCATGCAGTGCCTTATGAGTTGGAGGTCAAGGAGGTGAAGGCCATAATATGATCTGGTATTCGTTTACGGCATCTAAGCTCCAATGCACCATGGTGTACCAAACCTTGATCCGGTATTTGTTTACGGCATCTAAGCTCCACTACACAACATTCTACATGCATTTGGACGCTTCTTGGGCCGCGTACATGCATGTAGAGTGTTGTGCAGTGGAGGTGCGACCAACAATCGGCAGCCAGCAGTTTGCGTGCCCTCGTCTCCTTCAGCCCGTCGTCACGCCGTCGCCTTCAGATTCCAGCCCGCCAGCCAAAGCGCCTGCGCAGTCCGCGTGCCATCACCTCCACCCTGAAGTTGTTTGTTAGTTCTTCTTCTTCTTAAAGAAAGAGAGAGAGGGGGGGGGAGGGG